GCTCCACTGAAGTGCAGATTTTGTCTCTTTTATTCCATGGCAATATGCCAGACCTGGACAAGGGCCTAGCACAGAGTAGACATTCAAAACATAAATGTGTTTCTTATTACTACATATTATATTAGTGATATCTTATATACAAGTATTAATTAATATATGTAACCATTTTCTTGTTTTTCCTTTTTTCTTTTTTAAACAGAGTGTCACTTGTCACCTGGGTAGAGTGCTGAGGCATCATAGCTCACAGCAACCTCAAACTCTTGGCAATAAGGGATCCTCTTGCCTCAGCCTCCCTAGTAGCTGGGATTATAGGTGCCCACCACAGCACCTGGCTATTTTTTGGAGATGGGATCTCACTCTTGCTCATGCTGGTCTTGAACTCCTAAGCTCAAGCAATCTACTTATGTAGGCTGCCCAGAGTGCTGGGATTATAGGCATGAGTCACTATACCCGGCTATTCAACCTTTTCTTTTCTTTCTTTCTTTCTTTCTTTCTTTCTTTCTTTCTTTCTTTCTTTCTTTCTTTTCTTTTCTTTTCTTTTCTTTTCTTTTCTTTTTTCTTTTTTTATTGCAGTTTTTGGCCAGGGCTGGGTTTGAACCCACCACCTCCAGTATATGGGACCAGTGCCCTACTCTTTTGAACCACAGGCACCACTCACCATTTTCAATGTGAATTCAATACACTGTTGAAACCAATGGTGAAAAATATCAGCAAATTTTGACTTTATTCTTTCTCCAGATGTGTATTTATCCTAGGATCTGTCTTTATGTCCTTTCAGTATCATGTTTTCTTATTCAAATTTTGATGGTATTATTTGATTTTTTCTGAGAATGATCTATTTGTCCTTTTCAAGGCAGATGAGATTCTCCCTTGTTTTTAAAAGTCTCCAGAAGGGTATTGCTGGGATTTAGGATACTTCATTGTCATGGGTAGTAATATTTTAATTCCCAACACCCCAAATAATCAATGTCACAGGCTATGCCTTTGTCTTCCCCCTCTGGCCTGGGCAAGGTAGCACACGGCATGTCTCAAGATAGACACTAAAGTAGCCTCTGTAACATCAAAAGCACAGGTTGACAGCTTTCTTTCTTTTTTTTCATTTTCCCCTCCTTCCCTCCCTCCATCCCTTCCTTCTGTCCTTTCTTCCTTCTTTCCCTTCATCTTCCCTTCCCCTCTCCTCTCCCCTGATTTCTCTCTTACACAAAGTATCTCTTAAGGAAAAAACAAGTTACTTCTCATAAAATTATTCCTACATGAATTTTATGGTGGTTAAAAATGTTCCACTCTCTGGATCATCACTTGGGCATCGGAGTAGGGAAATGTAGCCCCCTCCTAAAGGAAAGGGAAATCCACCCACTTTAAAATCATGTTCTGTTATCTGCACTTAGCTTGGAGGATCTAATAGTATGAGGCTGCACATTTATCTCAAAGGGCACTTTCCAGATGTAGAAGAGCATGGACAAGTATTAACACAAGTGCTTCAGGTATAGTATCCCTCACCTTCACAACCTGCACTGAGGCCTTGTTTCCATCCTGCAGATGAGGAAACTGTGACTGAGAAGAGGCAGTAACTTGCCTCTAACATGACTAGTCAGCAGCCCCACTGGAAAGGAACAGTGAGATTAGGATGTGGAGTATCGTGGACATTCAACATCATTTACCGTGACTAACATGCTGGTGCTGTCTGCTTTCTTTCCAAGGCCAACTGCAAGCAAATGCCTACTGTGAAAATCCAGATATAGTATTAATCGGCAACAAGGCAGACCTGCCAGACCAGAGGGAAGTCAATGAACGGCAAGCTCGGGACCTGGCTGACAAATATGGGTAAGTCAGTGACACTGAGATGTCACCTGCTCAGATGCTGTCATTCAACTAATGGAGGATAGGCAGGAGATCGCTCTTGGAAGAAATCCCTTGAATCAAGAATAGTATGCAAAAAAGATCTTCCAGAGGAATGCAAATGATATTGTAATTTTAATAAATTCCTTAATAATAGTAGCACCTGACATTTTCTGAATAGTTATAATGTATTATAGCAACTGTTATAGACTTAGCAACTGTTCCTAGAACTTTAGTTCATTTCACCCCTCATAAGGACATGTAGGAGATACTAGAGTTATCCTGTTTCGTGTATGAGTAATTGAGTCACAGAAAGAGTCAATAACTGACCCCATCTCAAAAAAAAAAAAAGAAACAAACAAACAAAAAAAAAACAACAAAGAAAAACAGAAGTACTCCCCCACCCCTTGCCATTATAAAGGGCTTTCACTTCAGAATCCGTCATTATTTTTTAAATTTAAAGTAGCTTTACCGTATCTGCCAATTTTTTTACTCAAGGATTCTTCCTGAGAAACTTACAACTCTTGGAACTTTTTATTCCAGATAAATATAGACTGTATTCGTGTGAATAGCCTATATAATGTATGCCTGCTTTCTAAGTTGGCTTTGCAGATAATTACTGGAAGGGAAGCAGTATTTTAGTAATGGTAATATTGACCACTAGGTGAGGCATTTTGTTTTAAAGAGTGATAATGCCTTGGCTTCAACTTCCTGACCACCTCCTGTGTCAGTCTGTACAAGTTTCTTTGCCCACAAAACTGGGTCTAACCATAGTAAAAAGCAACTCACCCATTTTTACTGACTGAGAATAAACAAGGATGCTTTCCAACTTAGCAAAACCATGATTATTTCACAATCTCTTGGCCAATCGTGTGTTTGTGGGTGTGATTCATGTGTACGTCTTGTTGTATCTGTTCTCATTTCTTCCTCTCAAAAATATCTGTCATTTCTTCCCTGCTAGCATACCATATTTTGAAACAAGTGCTGCAACTGGACAGAATGTGGAAAAATCTGTAGAGACCCTTCTGGACTTAATCATGAAGCGAATGGAACAGTGTGTGGAGAAGACACAAGTCCCTGACACTATCAATGGAGGAAATTCTGGAAAACTAGATGGGGAAAAGCCAGCGGAGAAGAAATGTGCCTGCTAGATTCTACATAGGAAATGGTTGTCATGAACCCACCCATGTTCCTTCCATAAACAATGACAAACCACAAGATAGTTGTTGAGTAGACCACGCATGATGGCACAGTCTTCTTTTTCTGCCAGAAAATCTATTTTAAGAAACCAGAATAGTCAACAATGGTGTTCAAAGAATTGATCAGTTATCTGTGAGGCCCTTGCAAACAAGGTCAAAAATTTTCTCTTGTGATCTCATCATCACGGATGCTTGATTTGTCTTTCTTATACAGAAGCTGAGTCTTTGAAACCATGTACAAGAAGAAATAACAGTGGGTTTTAAATCAGAAAAGAAATTACCTTGTTACATTGGAGGAAGGGATAGATTATCAAAGGAAAAATGTAGATAGGTGATTCTTTTTTAAAAAGATTGGATTTCTTATGTAGGATCTGATTCATACTTTTATATTTGCATCGGTGAAAACATACTATCTAAAAATGGATATATGGTAAAAAATTCTATGTGGTTCATGAATAATTGCATTACTCTACATACCCAATAAACTTTACAAGAATGACGAAATTACTGATAAGGTTATGAGGAGACGAACATCATACCTCTGCTAAAAATGTTGGTGGTTGCACCAGAATGCCATTTGGATGTTCTTAAGAAAGAGCAAATGGACAAGAACAAGACTGCAAACAACAGAGTTTGAGAGAAATGCCCTGATGGCTGAGATTAAATGTATCTGGTATTGATGTCTGGAAGAATCACTTAGCCAAATTTCACTCAAGCCAATTAGAAGCTGGCATTATTGGTTGGAATTAGATAAATCTCCAGAGGTTTCCATTTCAAACAAAAGTTTAGAAATTCGTTTTGTTTCCAACTTCACATTTCATTTTTCTTGAAATACGATAAAATAGTCACAATGAGAAATTAACAGTTGCTGTTTAAACATTTCTTGAAGAAATACAGTCCAGAAAACTGGTCTTAAAAATCTTTTAAGATAAATTATGTTGATGATATGAAACAAAGGGTGACTATCAAGGGTGGGTTTCCTTTTTGTTCACAAAAGCACTGGAAATCCAAATCTCATCTCTTCCCTCCAGTCCTCACGCATCCCTGGCTTTGAATTAATTGTAGTAATGCACGAGTGTCATTTCATAGAAGAACAAGTTCAGAATAACGATGGATCAATTCTATGGTCACTCTGAGTTTTCATATCATTAATCACATACAAATTGACGATACTCATTCTATAGTATGGTATGCTTTTATTGTGTTTAAAGCAAAACCCTAGTAACTGAGCTATGTTTGGGGGCTGGGAAGGGATGGAACTGTATTTTGTCTCACAAAAAAAATTTGGTGGTTGTATTTTTTCACATAAAGATGCTTTTTCTTTCTAAAAATGATCACAAAAGTATTTTGCACCTGCCTATTCTTGTCCTTGTGGCAAATTAACATTACATTAGTTTTTGATCTTAGTTTCTGATATAATCCATTCCTATCAAAATATTATTTACTTCAGTCAATTATATCAATAACAAAGGAAATACAAGTTTTTTTCTTTTTATTATGAGTAAATGATTTTTGAGAGAATGATTCCTCTTCCTATAAAATTTTTCCCATCAGCGGCCAAGTGAAGTGGCATACGCCTGTAATCCCAGCACCTTGGGAGTCAAGGCAGGAGGATAGCTTGAGCTTGGTCAACCTTGGTCACACAGTGAGACCCTATCTCTAAAAACTTGGTCACACAGTGAGACTCTAGCTCTAAAAACTTATAAAATCAGCTGATATGGTGGGGCATATCTGTAGTCCCAGCTACTCACAAGACTGAGGCAGGAGGATCACTTGAGCCCCAAAGGTGGAGGTTAAAGTGAGCTATAATCATGCCACTGTACTCCAGCCTGGGTGGCAGAGTAAGATCCTGCCTCAGAAAAAGAAAGGAAAATCAAATTTCCAATCAGACCTAATTTTTCCAAATCCTATTGCCCATTCAACCTTTCTGGACCAACCTCCATCTGGTATTGAAACAGTTTCAGAAACACAGACAGATCCAAAGAAGTATCTATTCCTAATGTTTGTACAATAGACTGGAGTCAGAAATGTGCCATGAATCAACACAACACGGGCTGTGTTGTGGGGATCAGCCCCCCAGTGAAATCCTCAGTGTTGACTGCCTGGCTCCTCTGAGTTCTGCAGTATCATGAAAGCATCTAAAATCAGTGATGGTTGAGCATTTCCTTCCATGGTATTTTCTCTGGGAGGCTCTTCATGATCTCCATGCCTTCGACATGAATATAGAAAGCTGTTAGGTCACCTTGATGATGTTTCTTTTGGAAGGAATGTGAGGAAGAACAATATTACCATAGCTGTGGCAAAATCTGGTAAACTGTCGTCATTACATCCATTTCTTCTTTGTATTCAAATTGTGATACTCTCGGCATTTCCCTAATTTCAGAGCCTTTATAAAACTCTGAAAATATTCTGTTTTGACATATCTTTTTGTTTCTGTTCATTTCCCAGTTATAGGATTGATTTACTTGTGCCAAGATTCTGTCATTGTCAGTTATTTAACCAGTATTTTTTTTTCGGGCTCTATTTTAGGATCATTACTTGATAGCTGTAGCATGAGGCAGAGAGTGATGATGCCCGTAATTATAGAACCATGCCTGTAAAAATAACAATTATTGGGTAATAAGCTCAAGAGGAATAGAATGTAAAACTGACAAAATTAATTTAAAATAGCATTCCATTTATAAATAAATACTTGATCTAAAAATTTTTTCTCTGCAGAGTTTGATCAGTGACCCCAAATTTTATATAACCATTATTATTTCAGGGTTAATAGTTCTGTATAATTTAATCCATTGCCATGCAGTATACAGACTGCTTTTAAAAAGTCCATATCCCTCTGTTCCACAAGAGCATGTACCTTTTTTTTTTTGCAGTTTTTGGCCAGGGCTGGGTTTGAACCCATCACCTCCGGCATATGGGGCCAGTGCCCTACTCCTCTGAGCCACAGGCACAGCCCCAGGAGCATGTACTTTTAGCCAAGATATGTCCTGTTACTGATTACCTACCAATGTTTAAATAAACCATATTATATTTTGGAGAAATATTCAAAATGTACAGGAAACTGCTTTGTGATATCAAAACTATTTCTGGAGGGTTGATTCTGGTTTTATGTTTACATTTCTCTAACTCAGTGCCTCAGATACCTCTGTGACCAAATCAGTCTTCATAGTTCATTTCCTATAATGTTACATCATAGGAAGTCCTCACAGAGACACTAGCACAGCTAAAGGTCTTCTCATATCATCAGCAAAGGATCCAAAGACTTTATTCAACTCTGGAGATTGTGACCTTCTCCTGGTCTCCTGGCTTACTTCTCATGGAGTGGACATTACTTGAGACGCTAATTGTGATTAGGCCCATAATTACCTTCTAACATCAAAACAAACAAACAAAAAACTGTTTTGAAAAAAATGTATCAAAAATAATGAGAGAACATAATGTTCGTCTTGGTCTAATGTTGGTGACAAGTCAAGAATTGGCCTAGAAAAGGCTAAATACTGGGGGTTGAGCTTGTGAGTTTCCCCAGGAGAGTTTAAAACTCCTGCAAGTTACCACTGTAGCCAATTTGCAAACATTTCCATAATATCAGCTATCACACTACCAAAAATTCAAAACCAGCATTTTCTAAGGTGAATATTTTTTCTATTATCTTTAATCTGACAGGTCATGGGACATGGTACCAGTGGGCATCTTTGTCATGCTTCTTACTATAAATTGTTCTCTGCCAACCAGAAGAACCAGGCAAGAGTTTTAATCAGCCCTTCTTTGTCCCCTTTGTAAGAAAGAGAAGCTTGACCACAGAGAAGGTCATGACTACATTAAAAAATAATTATGGCGGCCACATGATAATGTTCTTTAAGCTGTACATGGAATCACCAAATTTGATGAAGCCCGTGTATCTTGTCACCCATGAAGTGGGTGCAGTGGTTAGAAAGAAAGCAAGATTGTGCGACAGAGGCAGTGGACAGCCAGGCACGGAATATAACCTGGAATCTTGCTCTGTGAAACAGGGTCATTCAATGTTCAGTGTCTCTGTTCACTTTTAAAAACCACACATAGGTTCCTCATTTGTATCACACACAAAAAATTTGAAATGAAATCTTTGGCCATAAAGGATTTTGAAATGAAAATTCTAATACTAAAACTGTAAAGAAATGCTATTCCAAGTCTGGGGTTTGCTGAGACATATAATAACTCCTTAAAAGGAAGATCCAAGAGCTGATATTAGCCAAAGTGATAGAAGAGTCTCTTTTACCTTCTACTGCCAAGCTTTAAAACATTTTTAAAAGTCCAGTATATTTGTGTATTTTAGTGAAAGTTTTACCATTTTTATAGATGCTAAGATGCTATCTATATTGAAAAGAGTATCTAGACTCAAGCTCTAGTTGCCTAACATTATTTTATATATTTAACCTTTTCAAGATTTAGTTTTCTAACTGTAAAAATGACATAATCATCCCAGTACAACTCAAAAGAGAACTTCTTAAAGTCTGTTATTAGCAGCTTCCTACTTTTAAGAATATTACTTGTCTATCGACATGCCTTCAGTTGTATTATCTAATACTCAAAATAAGCTTTACTGGCTTAAAAAGGAAAGAAAAGGTTTCTAAGAATTCAACACAAGCTACATTTTCTTCTTAACCTTTGACCAAAGTGATAATCAACTTATTTCTAGGGAGAGTGCTAAGCTCTTAAACATGAAAATGAATATAGATTATTACCTGAGCTGAGTATTGTCTAAGGGCTCTATAAACCCATGATGCTATTTTTACAGAAAGTAGAAATGATTAAAAAAAAAAAAACATTGGTATTGGATACGTAGAGAGTTTTACACATGTATTGCCTTAAAATTCTTGGGTGGAAAACCAACCACAATGGTCTTGTTGAGCAAAAACTATGAAGAGAAATAGGAGTTAAAAGTTGTCTAAAGTGTGCCCTTAAATACAGTGGAACATGGAGAAGGCCGTAATTAAAAGGACGACTTTGAAATACAAAAATAAAAAATTTTTAAAAAAAGATTCTTTATAACCAAATCCATGGCAAATATTTATCCATCATTTTCATTTGCCAACTAGAGGTTTATCCCCTTAGAACTAGAAGATTTAAATAAAGCAATATATTTGGGAAACTTAGAAACATTTTCTTTTATGAATCTAATTTTTTTCATTGATTTTACTTTGATTAATTTCTCCAGGAGCAGCATCATAAAGCTACTTTTCTGCAGAGTTCTTTATAGTCTATGATTGAGGTGTTTTCTCCATTCATATATGGAGAGAATCTTGGAACAAAAATACTTGTAGCAAAATGGGGGAATTATTTAAAAGGGTGTCATCATTTGTGAAAAATATACAAAGGAATCATCTTTAGGTTGAGCAATTTAAATTGGGTTTCCTGCCTCCTTTCCTGTCCAACAGGTCATGGAAGTCATGGCTAAGCTCTCTCAGCTGACTTAGTCTTCAAGGATTGCTAGCAAATTCTGTACAACCTAAAGGTATGCCTGACCAACCTGAAGGTATGC